CAGTCAATCAAAGGAACAAGGTAAGAAAAGGTAAGCCTCAGGAGCCAAGCGTTACCTGCCCAGTCTAAACCCGATTCACTTATAGGAGGTGATTCAGTAAAGAATTCCTCGAAGTCAAGCGGGTTGAAGGTCGAGGTGGGAAGAGCTGCCAAGTGACTCCGTTTTTCAGAAAGGTTAGTCGACAGCTCGGTCCTTTCTTGCTCCTCGGAGAAATCTGCTTCATGGATTTGGTCCAGCAGAATCAGGTTGCTTTCGTGCTCCTTGATGTCTGACTCCAAGTCCGACCTAGCTTTCTCGGTTTGCATGAAGCGAATGGCCCCTTGGATCAATTCCATCCCGCGTCCCTTAACTTCCTTTCTGGCCTTCGATGCCGACCTTGCCAACTCAGAATCACGCAACTTGGCTAGCGCCTTGTACTTCGCGTCAAGCTCGATAAGTTGGTTGTTCAGGGTATCGGCGGTTGATTCGGATTCATGAAGTCTACCCTGAACACCAGAAAGTTCGTCCTGGAGTTTGTAATTCCGATCGTAGTAGTCTTGCAGCTCCCCCTTTACCTGCGCCAGCTCGGATGTTAACCTGTCGACCTTATCCTCCAGATCATGCTTGGAGCCAGCAGAAGAATTGAGTTCAGCCTCAAGAGCTGAGAATTTCTTCTTCCACATATCTATCTCTTTCTCCCGTCCAATGACCAACCCTTCGTAATGTTCGATCATGTCGTTAAGTTCGCTATGAGCCTGGTATCATACATGAACCCGGGATGGCGAGTCAGTTCGCAGAATGGCAATACAATAAAAACAAAAAAAAGGGAAGAAAACGGAACTAACCCGAGATGAATGATAAGCGTGAAGCAAATAGCATTCACGAATTGCAGGGCGCCATTTGTTGAAATCTGGCAAGATCGAACCCGAACGGGTCTTGAAGCATCGGAAGACGCTTCCTTCTGTCTCCATAGCTGCGAAGAAGGAAGAATTGTAAACATTGGAATTTTAATAAAAACAAAAAGTTTAAGCATGTGTAAATCACCAAACCTGAAAGCGATTTGACTTGAGGGACAAGAGCAGGCTTCAGCCTCGAGGAAGCATCTCGAGATTCAAAATCTCCACTTTTAGGGGATGCACTCCGAACAGTCTTTTCGCTGACAGGCTGGGAAGAAGAAGACATGTCAACAGGTCGGGGAGGACCCATTGGTTCAGTAGAAGGGGAGGATCGAGGTGAACGGTCTGTCCGGGCCCTTGATTTCTCCCTTCGCGGAGACGAGTCATCACGGGACGACTTGTCCCTCTTCTTACGAACCAAATTCTTAAGTGGTTCGTTGCTGAAATCGTCTCGGGGAGGACGAGGAGAATCACGACGGGGAGACCGCTCCCTCCGAGGAGAACGCTCGTCGCGGCGCTCGCGACGAGGCGTTAACCTATAAGAAGCAACGGATCTGGCTCCCTCGGAGCTGTTGTCATCAACCAGCAGGGTCCTGCTGTAATCTTTTTTGTCAATGGCGGTCGCAAGGAACGCCTTGTTTTCATCACAAGCCTCTGCTATCGGCTTGGAGAGCTTCTTACGCTGGGCAGCGAGGGCCCGAGCTGACATTCCCTGAGTTGAGGGAGGAGGCGGAAGACGATGAAGTAGATTGGGAGGACTCATCCTGAGTTTCCGGTTGGCCTCGACAAATCGGTCGAGGGTAAAAGAATTCCAAAGGGTTTCCCCTTCAAGGATTGTTTTGAAGAACTTGACAAATTCTTCAGTCGGGAGAGTTGAAGCGATGAAAGCTGCGAAATGAAACAACGAATTCGGTCAGTAAAAAATAATGATAAACAATAAAGGAATATACGACCTAGTCTCTACCAGGTTTCGTAGACCACTTCGATGGGAGTACATCGGAAAGATTCCCAATCGAAGCAGGAGTTTTCTTAATCAGAAACCAGGGATGGTGCCAGTATTCATCCTTGTTCGGGAGGTGCGAGATGACGTTCCTATTGGCATTTGGATACGCCGAGAAGTACCCAGTTTTCTTTGATGAACTCCTTACGCTTAGGAGTTCATTCAGCTCAGGAACTCCAATAACGTAGCCAGCCTCCGCCGCAACGGTTATAATCCCGAGGATGGTTCGGAGGAGATTTGGGGTTAATTGGGGCAAAGCGATCTCAAGAGCCGCCAAGAATCGAACTAGGGCTTCGGGAAGGGGGAAGGTCAATCCGCAGCCCTTGAAGAAAATTTCGTAAACACAAAAGTAGCCGGCACGGTGGTTCTCAGGAGATTCCGTAGGGTCGGCTATTTGCGCCTCCGCTATAATTCCAGGAGAAATTTGACAAAGCCCCTTCAATCGCTCAAGGGATTGAAGAGTACAGGTGGATTTGTAATGAGGACCGGCGATGTCGTTAGGACGAGTGCATTCGTCATTACTAGAACGCCTCTCGTCGTAAGACGGAGATTCAGGTCTTTCAGAATCAGAAGTCATCGAATAAAAATGAAAAATTTAAGATCCGGCGGAGAGAGGTTTTTCGTGAAGAAGAAAAGAGAGAGTTTTTGATTAAAGTACAAAAGTAAAAGAAGTTACCTCAAGCTAATGATGAAACCGCCTCGGAAGTTGTGTGGGAAGTGGGAAGGTTTTTCCCGTTTTAATAGTAATTAATCAATATACGGTCATAATGATGACAGATGTCACTCGGTTAAAAATGGATAGTGCCGAAATTAAAGGAGTGATGAGATTTTCGGCGGGAAATCAGAAAGATTCTCGAGCGCAATCTTTGGCCACTTGAGCATTTAAAGTCCTCCGAATTGGAATAGCACTTCGAAGAACTTGGGGGGCTAATTGTTGGTGTCGGATCCCGCACCAGAAGTACGAGACCAACCAAAGATTGCCACGTAATCAAGATAATGGCCCATAAAGGATGAAGCCCATTGGACCCGTGGGCCGAAGGGGCGGTCGAAGTGGTTGTCACCATCTCGAGAATCCGAAGTGACTGCACTAAGACACGAGTTCGGTGTAGAAGACACGGATAAGTCGGTTCGAGGACACTTGGGCCAAAAGAGGCGAGGCCCATGAAGATCAGAGTCAACTCAAATTCAAACGTTGAGTATTAAAGCCAAAGAATCAAAACGGACACATTTAAGAAGAAATAATTGTACTTAATTGCTCATTTTAATGTCGTTTATCTATGTATAAATATAGAGGCCAATGGCCATGTAAAGGGGATCTTCCTCTCAAGGGAGAAATACAATAGCAATTTTCGTATCAATTTATAAGTTTTTACATATTCATTTTTGTCCCTCAAGGATAATCTTTCCCACTTAACAAAATACTTGAGTGTGTGAATCCGACATCCACAGAGCCTAGACCCAATTCTGATTGTGGACCACCCGTGGATGTCCAGTCCCACAAACTTCACGTTTCGGATGTCTAGTCCTGAGCGTGAGGAGGGTGTATTAGAATATTGTCCCACATCGGTTGGATTTGTGATTCTTGGGCAGTATATATGTGTTGTGGCAATCCTCCTCCCTTGAGCTAGCTTTTGGGTGTGAGTTAGGCCCACACTAATAATCGAGAACAAAGTAATCGAGGGAGAGGCAAAAACATGTAAACCTAAAGATAAAAAGAACGCATAGTTCGAGAACCCGTCTGCGAGATGGTTGACCTCTTTATACGTGAGAAATTCGATATCCAATAGCACATATGCACCACGAACGACAGCGGATGAGATGCAAAAATCAATGTATGAAGAAAATCTACCACAATCTCCGAGTCTACTTCAAGGTCCACCTGCGCAAATCTCTGATCCCACGCCATGTATAATCCATAATAAACTCTCCACATTTCCGCTAACGTTGCCGAACATCGCCCTATATTCAACACAAACCCTCCACACCAACCACCATCCTCATTCCTCAAGACTCCATCCGCTGTGGTTGGTCCCGGGTTACCATGTGAAGATCCATCAGTGTTGAGTTTAACCCATCGCAAATAAGACAAACTACTCTACACATAATGAAAAAAAAAAAACACTAAAATTTGATTATAAATACATTATCTTTTGTGATTAACAATTCAGTATAACTCTAAACGAAGAATACTTAATTACTTAAAGTTTACAATTTTCCATCATTAACTACTAAAAATGTATAAAACACTTTAAAATCTAACATTTTAAAATAAATTTTTTCTGAAATTTAGATTAATTGGAAACAAAAGTAATATTTTATAACTTATTACAACGCGTGCTGTTTGTACTACGATGATCAACGTAGTACAATGGATGACTCAATTTCTAACAAGTTAAAGCATTAGGAAACTTAAAATATGGTGTAGAAACACTAAACATTGGTTAATCGATAAATCAAGCCATTAAGTGTGTTAAATAAAGACAAAACAAAATAATGGATATAATTTTTAAAAATGTGGCGTAAGTGAAAACCAAAACAAAAACTAAAAGAGAAAAAAAGATTATAATAAATAAAAGTATACGTGAGCAGATCACCTACTTGGTTTATTTTTCAACGATTACCTGCTCTGATTATAATGGTATTAGAAATATTAAACCACGAAATTGTCGGTCTTCATAATCACCTAAAATAGGATCTCTCTTATAATATTAAGAAATAATGTTAACGGTTGACCAAAAAACAAAAATTAACGAGTTTGGACCAAAACATGTGATTCTATTACTGATATGATTGTGGAGCATATCACTTATTATTTTTGTCGTTAACTCTCTTATAACGCAAAAATCAACTTTCCAACAAACTTCACATTATGCATATTGAGATGAAATTATTATTCGCAATTCTAAACTCCATCAGAAATCGAATCCGATCTAAATTAATATGATGTGAGATCCAATCCAATTTGCTCCAAAAATGTATTGAGATTCAGATTTGGTTTCAAATAAAAAAGTTTAGAATATTTAGATATTCGGATTTAGATCTTTATCAACTAAATGTAGATTTAAAATAATGTAAAATTCTAAAATGATTCTACTAGAATGATATTTTCCTCTAATAATATCTTCACCTCCCTTTTTAAATGGGGAGATAAGTGTTTCATATCTGAATTTTGTAGCTAAGTTTTTATGTTTATAAATCGGATCGACTTAATCGTAGGACATAAAAAAAAACACTCCATGAGGCTTGCTTTTGGGCCGCAATGAGAATACTAACCCATATTGTCCATATTTGATTCTGCATCATCTTGGTCGAGAAAATGTGATTTGCAGAGCAGGTTTGTAATGTGAACGTCCGTTCTCCTGCACAAAGGCATGAATTGTCTTATCAGCTTCCGTTGATCAAATACATCTGCCTGCTAAAGATCTAAGAATTGGTTCGTAGCCTTGGTTTCGAAAGACACCAACATGCATGTCCAACCGTATTTCTCTTTTTGGAAAGCAAAAACTTTTGTCTGTTTACCTTAGAGTACGCAGACACAGTTAGTAGCTAAATAACTTAAATAAGCAGACAAAACTTTTGGTAGAAAGGGAAGTTCTGCCAAGAGTTTATCCATGTGTCGAAGATAAGTAACCTAAATTAGTAATAGTAATTTTTTTATTTTTCTTTTCTTGTCGTCTAAAATTATGATATTAAAAACAGAATTCCACGGTGACAACTGACAAAAACCCAAAATAGAAAATTTACAGCCCTAAAGACATAAACTAATTAACAAAGCCAAACATACTTGTGATTTGCATTTCTTGGACGAGCGATGCAAACAAGGAAATCATACAATTAAGCAAGCATAATAATCTCCAATATATGAAAAATATATTGTTATAATAATTATACTATCTATTTTTACATAAATGCAATATATATTAGTTGGAAAAAAAAAATCATTTTGCAACAAAAGTGTTATATATAACATCTAATTCGGCCATGAACAGCCGAGCAAAGCGGCAAGACTCGCCGACGACAAAACTGAACATCGTAGCTATGAAAGCCAAACGATATCGGATAAAAGCCAACTAAACGCTCTAATAGAATCGATGGATGTTGAAAGAAAGCCCGAAAGACGAGATCTAACTACCGGAAAGAGCTTCGGACGGCAACATAAGCGATCTTTCTCTCTCTGAAAAGTTTATGAGAGAGAAGAGAGAGAAAATCGCTCTTTCTTCCTGGTTTTTAGTGATATATATATTATAAATAAATTAAATACTATATACATTATGTTGAGCTAAGACCATCTCTAGGAAATTTTTAAGAGGTTCTTAGCATTAATTCTTACAAAATTATGAATAATTGTCTTAAATCCTAAGAACCAGCTCTTATATAAGAGCCAAAAGAGCATTAAAAAAAAAACAATTCTTAACATTTCTCTATCTTCTTCTTTTTGAAATGTCTCTAGAATCCATGATAATCCGAAAAATTCGATTCGAACCCGAACCCGAAAATTTAGATATACCCTATTGGGTCCTAAAACTCATATACCCGAACCTGAAAATATCCGAATGTTTTATTCAAAAACCCAAAATTTTATCAGAAATTTGATTTTTTTTAACCGAAAACCCGAATATTTACCCAAAAATCGGGTATTTGCATGAAAACCCGGGTGTTTACCCGAAAACCCGAACATTTATATAGCGGGTATTTAGCGGTTCTAAAAATTTATATCCGAAACGATCCCAATGAAAGGATCCGGACTGAAACCGAACAGATTATTTTATTTACCATGTTGGATCCTAAACTGCTCTACCCGAAAGACCCGTAACTGATTTTTTTAGTTTATAAATTCTAATAATTATTAAGTTTTCTAAAATTAAAAATGTTTATATTTTTCATTTTAAAATTAAACTATTTTTAAGAATCCTAACTTAAAATTCTATCATAACTTAAAATTCAATCATTGGAAAATGCCAAAAATTAAAACTTGTATCTAAATTCTTAAGTATATACTATTTTTTAAAATTAATAATAAAAATATTGCTAAGAACCCTTGCTAATGTACTACTATTGTGGATGCCCCAATCGTATATCAATATCTATCCAAAGTTGGATTTCTTGGTTGACGTTACCCAACCAAAACTCTCAATTTCACAGTGGATTACTCTTACATTCCCAAAGTTTCAATTTTTCTGAGCTTCAAAAATCCACTTTAATGGCTTCATCTGCATTTGCTTTTCCTTCTTACATAATAACCATAGGAGCTTCAACAGATTCTTGCAAACCAACTTCTCTGGCTTCTTCTCGATCTTTGGTTACAGATCTTTCATCGCCATGTCCGAGACCCAACAACAATTTCCATGTAAGATTACTACTTCTCTCTTCTCTGCTTCATCGTTGAAACATGATTTTAGGAACTGTGAGATTTTGTAGCTGCCCATTTGGTAGAATGTAGAATTGAATAATGGGTTTACTTCATTTTTGACACAAGTCAAACAAATCCGAACCTTTTTCTATGTTACTTTATTGAAATTGAAGATGAATTAGATTTATAATGTTTGCCTCTTCGGTTCTAATTTCCGGAGAAAAATGACAGCTTTTGTTCTCCAGACCCATCTCTTCCGGTCCCAAGCACCAATCTTCCAAGTCCGCTAAACCGGATTCTCCAGTTCCCAGAAACTCGTTAACCGATGCCAAACAGGTAAAATTCATCACTTTGATTGAAAGTCACTCTTTTGGTTTAGTATATTATTGTGTCTCCTTGATTTCATGAGTTTAGTTAGTGTTCCATTTTAGTTACAATTGTGTACACTGTGCCAATGAACAATTGTGGTGTTTGATCATGTTTTATATTGACACCGTTTCTTTAAGGTTTGTGCAGTTGGGAGGAGGAGGAGCATGATGATGGGCTTGCTCATGTCTGGTTTAATGGTTTCTGAAGCCAATCTTCCAACAGCATTTGCTTCGATTTCAGTGTTTAGAGAATACATAGATACATTTGATGGATACTCTTTTAAGTACCCTCAAAATTGGATCCAAGTTCGAGGAGCTGGCGCTGATATATTCTTTAGAGACCCTGTTGTCCTCGACGAGAATCTCTCAGTCGAGTTTTCTTCGCCTTCTTCCTCAAAATACACGTCACTTGAAGACTTGGGTTCCCCTGAAGAAGTAGGAAAGAGGGTACTTAGACAGTACTTGACTGAGTTTATGTCCACTAGACTCGGGGTTAAGCGCGAGGCCAACATTCTAAGTACTTCCTCCAGAGTTGCAGATGATGGTAAACTCTATTACCAAGTCGAGGTAAGCCAAAGTCAATGACCAAACCGCATCCTAATTCTGTGAAATCAACTGTCTCATGTTTCGGTTAATTTGAAACTGTGTAGTGATGTGTTGTTCAGTTGAATTCAAATCCTAAATTATGAACAACAACATGATAGGACGTCTTAGATCACTTGATAGTTGAGCTTGATTATGGGGAGAATGTTCTTGTGCATATTGCTGTAACAAAGTGTGAAGCTTTAGGTGAATATAGACAGAGCCAAACCATTTCATTTTTCTTATTGATTTTGAGATGCAGAATTAATAGTTTTCTTCAGCTGTCATAGTGTTGCAACATGTCTTGATAAATCATAAAAGTAGTTTTCTTGATCAAACATGTCTTGGTGTTGCAACATGTCTTGATCAATCACAGTTTTTTAGAGTTGCATAAGAAACATTAGTTTTCTTCAGCAATCATAGTGTTTCAGGGTCGGTTCATTTGAAGTTGCAACTTGCATTTATATTTGGCGATAATGTATGATGAATCATCGCATAGCTCATAAGTAACATTGGTTTTGATTGAATGAACAGGTAAACATAAAGTCTTACGCGAACAACAACGAGCTAGCTGTGATGCCGCAAGATAGAGTGCCTCGTTTGGAATGGAACCGGCGCTACCTTGCAGTCCTAGGAGTTGAGAACAACAGACTCTATTCAATTAGACTCCAAACACCTGAGAAAGTTTTCCTGGAAGAAGAAAAAGATCTAAGAAGAGTCATGGATTCGTTTAGGGTCGAGAAGATTTAGAATAGCTCACATTCTCCATGTGAATTTCTTCTTATTCCAAACCAAAAAATCTTGTTGCTGACTACATTGATTACCAAACAAAACGATTTTGATTCAGTTTATTGAGATGTCATTATGACATATTGTTGACTTGAGGAATATTGTCCACCGGTTAACCAAAATTGAGAAATTATCGATGAACCGGTTAACCAAAATTGAAATTATTACGGTTATCTCTGAAGCTCTTCGATTTTGGTTTATTAAGGCATTGACAAATGACAAAAACCCTCACCGGAGAAAAAGAAGTAGAAGAAGACGACGACGATGGTGGGATTTGAGAGCTATGTGGTTGTTCACAACATAGCAAAGCGTCACAACGTCGGAACTTTAGCTCGTAGCGCTACTGCTTTTGGTGTGACGGAGCTAATCCTCGTCGGCCGCCGTGATTTCAACGCCTTCGGTAGTCATGGTTCAGCTTCTCACATCCGTTTCCGCCATTTTCACTCACTTATCGAAGCTCGCACCTATCTCAAGGTCTTAATTTCACTCTGAATTACACAAATTTTGGAACTTTCTGTATGGGTCTTATCATAACTGGATTAGGGTGTTACAAAGTTTGAGTCTTTTTTGTTGGTTTGGATTGATTACTTATGAAGGAGGAGAAAGATTGCGATATTTGTGGCGTTGAGATTGCAGATGGAGCTTCTGCTGTTAACGAACATCCTTTCAAAAGAAACACTGCGTTTCTTCTCGGTAATGAGGTAATCAAAAGATCTGATTTTTACAAAACGTAACAAGTTTGTGAACTTAGAATTAGTGTGATGTGTACTTTTGTTTGCTATGAGATCATGATCCTAAGTCAATTTCATCTGTGAACAATGAGAATTCAAGTAGAATTGTAGGAACTTCAGTGACTTGAAAGACATTTTCTGATACAAGAAACTGGAATCTAGTTAGGAAGCTTCACTTACTATCTATGTGGGAGTTAGTTCACTTCTTCAGCTTGAAGATGGATCCCACTTTATTGAAAAACAGTGTGTTTCATGATCTATAGTAAAATTCATTTGTTAACAATAATGAAGGAACAAGTAGATTAATAGAAACTTCAATGGTTTGAAACACATCTTACAACACAAGAAATTATAGTGAAGTCTGAGTTAGTTGACTTCTCCAGCTTTCTTATGTAATCCTCTCCCTATGCGATTCAGACTCTTTTTTATTTTGTTTGGAGACTATTTGTCCATTTAAGCTATTTTGGCTTCAATGGTTGTGGTCTCTGCCACTAACTAAAAACCAAGTTTGGGGCTTCTGTAGGGATCAGGATTATCTGCCAAGGAATATGAAATATGCGACTTCTTTGTATATATTCCTCAATATGGCTGTGGCACTGCCTCCTTAAATGTTACTGTTGCAGCTTCTATCGTTTTGCATCATTTTGGAGGTATTTATTTTTCTGTTTTTGTTCCCATTCTTTTGTGCTGTTTAAGATTGAAAAACACTTTAATGGAAAGCAAAATTAGAGAATAGTAACTCGGTGTGACTTCTTCGTCATGTACTCTCATGTATAGACAATGATGATAGTGTTGGTTGATTAAAAGTAGCATTGTTCTGTTACAGTTTGGGCTGGATTTTCTGAGCGTGTCCGGGATGGAAGCAAATTTATTGTGGCTGATAGACCCGTAAGACAAGGAAGACGGAATTTCTGTGCGGGCACAGAAGAATCCATCATTGAAGAGCGGAAGTTGAGGAAAGAAAGTGCGGAAAATGGTTTTTTCGATGACGATGGCAACGGAAATGGAAGTTCATCATCTGACCTTTTGGACGGTTTGTTCCTTAACGAATAATTGTCTTTGAAAAAGAACAAAGTCTTGATTTGGGTTCCAATCCTGGGAAGATCAGGCACACACCCTTCAATATATATTATCAAGCGGAGTTAGCTTACTCACGCTTGTTCATTCCCTAGTTACCGAATCTTTGTTTCGCAAGTAGAGAAAGCTTATTGATTACGCGAAGTTGATTACTTGGTTTTGACTAATTGATCTGCCTTTGGTATGATACTATGCTTATGAACATGTTTGAAATTATTTCAGTTGATAGAATCTCATTCCGCTGTCTTACATTGTCTTCCTCATGTATTTTGTTTAGGAACAATGGTCTTTATTTTATTAGCAATTCAATTATCACATGAAGGGTTTTATATATTCTACTTTCTTTAGAAGGAAACAAAAAGAGTTAAATCCAATTTCTTTTGATTTTGTTCAGTTTCATGTAACAAAACCCAAAGCTTCTTTATTCACAGAATAATGCCACCACGTTTTCTTCATCATGCAACAACTTGAGCAGCTGCAAGCCTTGCAATTGGA